ATACCCAGGTGCTCCCACCCCTTGCACAGACCTGATCTGAGGCACAAAACCATGACTTACCGTAATTTTAAAACCTATGTCTTGGGAATCTTCCCCTGCCTGAATGGTGGAGAAAGTGTGTCGAGAAAAGATTTCCTCCTACTGTCATAACATTAGAACTTGTGGACATCCAAAGAAGATGAATGTCAGAAGATTTAGGACAGATAAAAGAAAAGACTTCTTAATGCAGCTCATATTTAAACTGTGGAACTTGCTTCCACAGGAGGCAGTAATGGTCACTAACTTGAATGGCTTTAAAAGAGAACTGGACAAATTCACGGAGGAGAAGCCTATCAGTGGCTATTAGTCAGGCTTCTTGGGAAATGATTACACAGCCCTGGTTTCCTAAAACATCTTGGAAGGGCAGAAGTTACTTAAAGGCAGAGGCCAACGCAGCCAACCGTGTCTGAATAAAGTCTAGCCAAAATCTCCAGAGAAGGTCTTTCCTCGACCCACTACCAGAGATCCAGGAATAGGAGTGCCAGTGTTTTGTAGCTCCTCTACAAATACGTTCTACCACCACGGAGCTTGCTGGCCTTCCCCAAGTCCCTGTTTGTTTATGGGCCTTGTATTTATCAGACTCAGTCAAAGGCTCCTTGGATCATGGATGCATCAAACTGAGAAGGGATCAAAGGCCATCTGTTCCAACCCCCCTGCCCCTCTGTTGCACTACAGAATCATTTGCACATTGATAAGCTCTGTTGTTACTTGTAATGTTATCAAAGAATAAGGAAATAACATAGGAGGCACATATTACAGTGTCGGAAAGATATATGCACCAAATATGTGTCAGAGGATTGCCAAAGCATGTGCCATCAGGACGCAACATCATCAAAGCAAGAAGTCAGGTGATTCGTTATTCATATCTAGAAATCCCCCACATTACTTTCTCATGCATGCTCTCTTGGGTTGGGGCAACTGGCTAAAATGTTTTAAAATGTTTTAAATGGTTCTAAATTTGGTTCCTCTGTTTTGTTTTTGTCAGGTTGATGTTGGTTAAATGTTTAGTTGGGGTTGGCAGTTTTTTTAATTTGGGTATAACTGTAAACTGTTTAGTGTTGTTATTATTGGTTTCTTTTTTTATATATAATAATTTTTATTATTTTTTTTCCTTTTACAAATTCGCCATCTCAAACAATATTCACAAATTTCAACTTTTTGGACTTCCACCAGCTTCTCCACCAATCATCCATATTTTCTATTTTATTATTATTGGTTTCTAAGGGGAGATATATATATATATATATATATATATATATATATATATATATATATATATATATATATATATATATATATATATAATTTGTTTTATGGTGTTTTATTAGGTATTGTTATTTATTTCACAACAAGGTATGAGAAAGGTTTGGTTCTCCAGATTTCACTGAACTACAACTCCCATCTGCACCAGTGGGCATAGCCAGTTGTCAGAGATGACGGCAGCTGTAGTTCAGCAACATCCAGAGGTGCAAATTGTTCCAAACATCAGATCTATGGATTGCAGAGGCGTTAAAACTGGGCAAATGTCTGTTTCTGTATCTTTCTGTTTCTCACTTTCTCAAAGTTAAATTCAGCTCTCCACATTTCCCCATCATTTTGCAAACTTCTTTTGTAAAAGAATCCTCATGAAAATTAGTGCAAATTTCTCCTGAAAGTAATTTTTGTATTTCACCAAATATAATGCATTTTGGTATGTTATTTTCATCTCTCCATCTATCTGCACTTTTATCCTAGTGCAGGGTTTCCCAAACTTGGTTCTCCAGTGGTTTTGGGGGCTACAATTCACATCATCCCTGACCACTGGTCCTGCTAGCTAGGTAAGGCTCCCTCAGCCTGAAAAGCGAGATGAGTGCCGCACCCCATAGTCCCTTTGAATGGACTTACCTGTCCAGGGGTCTTTTACCTTTATCTGCTAGCTAGGGATGATGGGAGTTGTAGTCCAACAACAGCTGGAGCCCCTGCCCTAGTGTATACACCTCTATGTGCATATTCAATGGCTAGAGAATTCAGAGCTGCAAAATTCAGAGAAGTAATGCTGCCCCGTGTGGTAAGCTGTTGAACCGCAAGCAGTATTTCCCTAGTAAAGCAGGCACTGTATAGGAAATCTGTGGCCCTCTAGTTGTTGCTGAACTACAACTCCCAAAAGCTCCAGCATAGAATCAGATCAGAGGATTGAAGTGATGGAAGGGACCCAAAGGGTCATCAAATCCAACCTGCTGCAGGCATGGCCAAAGGTGAGGAATAATGGAAGTCGTAAGATAACAAGGGAAGAGTTTGTGGTGATATCTGACACATCTTTTTCCAGAAAAATACCACTGACCACAGGTATATATGTGTGTGTGTGTGTACCCCATCACCCACAAACAGGCAATACCCCAATCCAACAGGTCTACCCCCCAGAAAAAATCACATTTCACAACATAGGAGTAGTGTGAGTGGGGGCTGGGAGAACCACATTGAAGAACTCAGGCATGGAGGAGGGGTAATATCATCCTTTCTTTCCACAGTCCAAATCATCTGCCAGGAGAGTTGGCCAGGGCGCAGGCCACCACCAGTGGGACACTCACCACCACTATGCCACATGCTGGTGGCACTGTAGCTGTACCAACAGCTGTGTCACCTCTGTCACTTGTGGAGAAGCACTCTGGAGGACCACCACACTCATTTTCTGATTTGGTTGGGTTGTTCTCATTTTGTGTTCTGCATTCCACCCACCCCACATACTGCCTGAACTAATGAAGAGCAGGTTAAAAGTATTTGAAATAAACGTATAAAATGCATTGATAAAAAGGTCTTTGTTGACTGCCCCACATATGACCACCTCATTTCTTCCATTGTTCGTACAATTTTCTCATTTGAGAGGAGAACTTAAATGACCATCTCACACCAATAGGTGGTGCTGGTGATCAGAAATCACTTTCAACACAGAAAATTAAAAGTTTGTATTAAACAGTGAGAAATCCCTCCCAAATGGACACAATGGTATTGTGGAGATGGTAGAGTGTGGACCAAAAATACACTTCAGTTGGAATTGGTTCAAAAGAAGAAAAGAAAGAACATGGGCCGCCCACCTGTGACTCCCAAGCCTCCCCCGATCTCCTTCCCCCTTCATTTTGGGGAGGCTTGGGAGTCACGGGAGGGCGGCTGTTGCCCAGGAGGGGCACAAGGGGCGCGGTTTCTTTGCCGGGCAAGGTGCAAACCCCTTCTTCCCACCCCTCACGTTTTTCTAGGGAATGGTGGCAACCCTGGGCACAATGCACTCTACTGAAATATAGGGTTCTCTACCTCCTCCAACAGGGATGCGGGTGGCGCTGTGGATAAAAGCCTCAGCGCCTAGGGCTTGCCGATCGAAAGGTCGGCAGTTAGAATCCCCGCGGCGGGGTGCGCTCCCGTTGCTCGGTCCCAGCGCCTGCCAACCTATCAGTTCGAAAGCACCCCCGGGTGCAAGTAGATAAATAGGGACCGCTTACTAGCGGGAAGGTAAATGGCGTTTCCGTGTGCGGCTCTGGCTCGCCAGATGCAGCTTTGTCACGCTGGCCACGTGACCCGGAAGTGCCCCTTGGGCATGCGCAGGCACTATGTTGCCTCTCCCCCAGCTGTAGGGCGGCTGAGTGGGAGAGGGCAGGCAGACTCTGGAGGCCCCGCGGTGTGCTCCTCCCCTCCCCTGCAAGGAGCTCAGTGATGGCACCCAGGGTGGACTGAAAGAAGCAGCCACCATTACACAGCTTGGCTCAGTGTTTGATGTTTAAAATATTTATTTCTTAATTTTGGGCTCAAAAAATAGGGGGTCTTCTTATACATGGGTATATCTTATAGATGGGAAAATAAGGTAATTCATCCATCAACAGCCATGGCATACCCTCCAACATTTCTCTGATGAAAATAGGAGCATTCTAAAGAAAAGGGGGACATTCTGGGATCAAATCAGAAACTGGGGCAGTCCCTGGAAAATAGGGGCACTTGGAGGGTCTGCCATGGGCAGATGATACCTCCTTCAATGAGAGCCATGAGTGAATGGTACTTCCCCCATCAGAAGCTATGGGAGACAGCACTTCTTCCATCAGGAGCCATGGAGCATTCTGTGTGAAGGGTTTTACAATTTACTGCTGTTACTCATTACATTTTTTACTCTACTCCTCAAAGAAGCTCAAGGTGGCACATGTGTTTCACCCCAGCCTGATTTTATTATCACCCCAATCCTGTTAGGTAGGCAAAGCTCAGAGGTAGGGACCTCCCCGCTGATAAGAGATTTTTACACAGAGCTTGAATGGTCAGCTGTCGGGTGTGCTGTAGTAATGGGTTTCCTGCATTGCCAGGAGGTTAGGCTAGATGCCATATGTCCGGAATTTGCTGGACATACCCGGAATACTGTAGTCGCAAGCAGTGTCTGGGTGGAAATTGGCAAAATGTATGAAAATCCGGATGTATGGCAACCTATGTTGGCAGTGTCGTTTATGCCCAACAACTTTTGTCTATGGATTTTCACTTTTTGAAATATGGCAACCCTAGATTACATGACATTGGAAGTCCCTCCCTACCAGTGGCGTAGCGTGCGGGGTGCAGGGGGGGCCGGCCGCACCGGGCGCAATATCGGGGGGGCGCGCTCGCACTCGCAGCTCTCTGCCCCTACCTGGCTCACTCACTCTCTCTCACTGCAGTGCTGGCTGTGCGAATCCGATCCGAGCCGCCGGGTCGCCCCCCACTGTGGAGGGGGGGTGCCAGGCGTGCGGTGCGGTGCGGTTAGGGGGCGCAAATTACTTGCCTTGCCCCGGGTGCTGACAACCCACGCTACGCCACTGCTCCCTACTCAATGATTCTGTGACCTGGTCCAATGTCATTCAGTGAACATGCCCCCCATAACAGTTTGGGTGGTGGTGCACAAAACAAAAATGACTGCAGCAGTCAGACTAACCCACTCCTGTGCATCAAAACAACCCCATCTGGTTTTACCAACTGGAAATCCAGGGTAGGACATGTTTTCTTGGCAGTGGAAAAGGGGAAGATAAGAAAACAGCTTACGCAGTTAGAAACTGCAAAGCTCCACTCTCTCTTCGGCTTTTGCCCTCTTTGACTCAGAAGAGAGAAATAAAGGGACGCTGGTATGGATTTCTAGGACGGATTTGACTTCTGAAACTTTTGGCTTTGGTGAAACAGGAGCCAGAGGGGTTTGCGTGATCCTCCCACTTTTTAGCAAATCATTCAAGGAGATGCGAGAAATTTGATCCTCCTGTATTCCCTGTGCAAGTGAAAGGCACTCTAGAAGGTAAGGCACTTTAGCAAACACTAGAATCTCTTACTGAATACAGTTTTGCTGGTGAGGGAGTTTCTCTCTCTCTCTCTCTCTCTCTCTCTCTCTGTGTGTGTGTGTGTGTGTGTGTGTATGTGCATTTAAATTTTTTTTTAATTAGAGAGCATTTTTCATGTAAATGCATCACACAGGGTAGCTGACACCATTTTTTAAAATTGAAATTCCATAAAAGCAATTACAAGAGACAGGATCAGCAGTTAAAAACCATTCTTAAAAACTCTTTCTAAACACACACATACACACTTGCACAGACACAGGAAAAATGGCTGCCTGTTGCATAAGGGCGAGATGAAATGGTTCAAGGTTGATTTAGAATCGTGTCTCTTAAATATGGTAAGTCTAAACCAAAAAGGGGTTTGAAGGGATGACTCAGCTGTTTTGTTAAGACACCAACAGGACGGGAACAATATGAGTCAACAATTGTGCATGCCAACTGAGTTATAATCAAGCTGCTAGGAACTGGATTTCTTCGGACTCTTTAAAAAGAAGAGTGTATAACAATAACAATAACAATAGCAATAATAACAATAACAATAATAATGTATTTTATTTGTATCCCACCCTCCCTGGCCGAGACCGGGCTCAGAGTGGCTAACATCAAAGTATATAATACATTAGAACATAAAAACAGACAATCATTTAAAATACAGCTTAAAATCAGATTTAAACTCAGAATAAAATCAGATGGCAACCCACGAATTATAACTATAGGGGTTGGGAACATTAAGTGCTCACCAGGCCCAGCTATTTGTGTTGGTCTCATATGAGCTGGTGAGAAGAGTTAGAGAGGCGACTTACTTGTAGGGTCTTGTAAAAAAGGGGGGGTCAGACTGGGTCCTGACCAAAGGCCTGGCAGAACAGCTCCATCTTTCAGGCTTTGCAGAAAGATGTCAAGTCCTGCAGGGCCCTGGTCTCTTGCGACAAAGCGTTTCGCCAGGTTGGGGCCAGGGCCAAAAAGGCCCTGGCCCTGGTCGAGGCCAGCCTAACCTCCTTGAGGCCCAGGACCTCCAAGGTGTCATTGTTTGCTGACCGTAAGCTCCTCTGCGGGGCATACCAGGAGAGGCGGTCCCGTAGGTATGAGGGTCCTAGGCCATATAGGGCTTTAAAGGTTAAAGCCAGCACCTTAAACCTGATCCTGTACTCCACCAGGAGTCAGCACAGCTGGTATAGCACTGGATGAATGATTCCGTGGCGAGGACCCCATAAGGAGCCTCGCCACAGCATTCTGCACCCGCTGGAGTTTCTGGGTCAACTTCCTGGGCAGCCCCGCGTAGAGCGAATTACAATAATCGAATCTGGAGGTGACTGTCACATGGATCACAGGGGCAAGATCAGGACGGGAAAGGTAAGGGACCAACTGCTTAGCATGGGGGAGGTGGAAAAATGCCGCCTTTGCTGTAGCTGCAACCTGCGCCTCCATAGAGAGGGAGGTGTCGAAGGTTATGCCCAGACTCCTGACAGAAGGCACTGGTGCTAACTGCGTCCCCCCCCCAAGAGATGGGAGTTGGCCCCCCAACCCCATGTTGTCCTGACCCAGTCAGAGGACTTTTGTCTTCGAAGGATTTAACTTCAACCGGCTCTCACGTAACCATCCAGCCACAGCTTCCAAACATCTGGTCAGTATAGTCCATTTAGAGAAACTTTCCTGGTTTTGGAGACCTTTTAGAAGGCAATGTGTATTCAATCACTTACTTCAAAATGGGTTCAGGCAAATTATTCCATTTCCCCCTGACATTCCCTTATTGGATAATTTCCACGTTTTATGTGATACTCCACATGGCAAAGCCACATCTCAAAAAGGACTGGAATCTAGTGCAAGTTGAGTGCTCATTTCCATGTTATTCACTTCCAGGGGGTGGGGGGAACTGCTTGCGAGAGCTGGGAAATTGCAGGAGATTTGTGCTGTAATTTCATGTGATGAAATCTGGTCTAGTATCCCAGGATACAGTCATTCCTGTTATTTAAAATGCTAGCGCAACAGATCAATCAGAGAGCTAAAGTTCCATAACACAACAGCTATCAAAGGGAACCTGGGATAGAATTGCTAGTGTTAAGTATGCAAGAAGAGCCTCCTGGATCAGGCCATTGGCCCATCTAGTCCACCATCCTGTTCTCCCAGTGGCCTATAGGAAGCCCGCAAGCAGGACCCAAGGACAAGAGCACCCTCCCCTCCTGTGGTTTCCAGCAACTGGCATTCAGAAGGATTTCTGCCTCCAACTGTGAAGGCAGAGCATACCCATCATGGCTACTAGCCATTGATGGCGTTTCCCTCCATGAATTTGTCTAATCATCTTTTAAAGCCATCAAGTTTGTTGGCCAAACTTCCTGTGAGAGTGAGTTCCACAGTTTAACAAAATGGTCTCAGAGTTTAACTAGCATTATAAACAGGAAAACTAACACAATAATACCCACGTCTGAATGCAGGGGTGAGGTCCTCCTGCTCATTCTGCTGAACCGGTGGACTTCTTTCCCAAGTCTTGCCCCGATGGCACCACAGACAGGGACCAAGCTGTTTTCCATGACTTATTAGTAATGGCAGCTCTACAGACTCAAGAGTTACTAAGGCAGAAGATCAGAAACCTCAATGGGATTGCAGGAAAGGGAGTGTTACGGTGATAAGAAATTTGACTGAGTTCTCAGCTGAAAGCAAACCTACCTAATTCACCCTCTCCAAAACAATACACAACCCAAAACGCGCTCTGAATTTTGCATTGCAGTTCGCTAACCAAATACTTTCTTCTTTATTTCATATCCCGCCTTTCCATTTTCATGCTCAAAGCACTTAAAATGAAGAAAACTATGATAATAATCATTGGGACGCGGGTGGCGCTGTGGGTAAAACCTCAGTGCCTAGGACTTGCTGATCGTAAGGTCGGCGGTTCAAATCCCCGCGGCGGGGTGAGCTCCCGCCATTCGGTCCCAGCTCCTGCCCACCTAGCAGTTCGAAATCACCCCTAAGTGCAAGTAGATAAATAGGTACCACTTTATAGCGGAAAGGTAAACGGCGTTTCCGTGTGCGGCACTGGTGCTGGCTCGCCAGTTGCAGCTTCGTCACGCTGGTCACGTGACCCAGAAGTGTCTTTGGACGGCGACGGCTCCCGGCCTCTTGAGCGAGATGAGCGCGCAACCCTAGAGTCGGTCAAGACTGGCCCGTACGGGCAGGGGTACCTTTACCTTATGATAATAATCAATCAGTACAAAAACACACATGATAATAACAGGAACAATCTACAAAATCAGAACGATCTGGAAGAAAACTGAGGACTGACCCCTCCATCTGCTGCTGTCTTTGGACACAATGGGACGCGGGTGGCGCTGTGGGTTAAACCACAGAGCCTAGGACTTGCCGATCAGAAGGTCGGTGGTTCAAATCCCCGCAACGGGGTGAGCTCCCATTGTTCGGTCCCAGCTCCTGCCAACCTAGCAGTTTGAAAGCACAAAGTGCAAATAGATAAATAGGTACCGCTCCAGCGAGAAGGTAAACGGTGTTTCCGTGCGCTGCTCTGGTTCACCAGAAGCAGCTTAGTCATGCTGGCCACATGACCTGGGAGCTGTCTGCGGACAAACGCCGGCTCCCTCGGCCAATAAAGCGAGATGAGCGCCGCCACCCCAGAGTCAGTCATGACTGGACCTAATGGTCAGGGGTCCCTTTACCTTTACCTTTAATGTGTTCAAATACACATATACTAGATCAGCAATGACTGATAAAAATGAATTAAATTAGGAGGGTTGGTTTGTAAAAGCATGTCTGTTAGGAAAATAGAATACAGAAAAGTGTACCCATTGAAATGCTGACAAATTTTCATGGGCACTTTAAAACAAGAACAACCTAGAGACATGCAGGAATATGGAGCTGAATTTAAGATTGGGACAATGAGAAACTGGAAATTGAGAGATTCACTCTTTCCTGGTGATGATTACCAAGGAATAGGTTGCTTTCAGTTTGCAAATAAGCTTGGATTTTTTAAAAATTAAAAAATCCTAAGCTTAAATAACAGAAAGCAAAACAGACTGACATTTCAACACTACTCTTTCCATACAAGTAATCACAGCTCAATATGCTTCTTTCAGGAGAGGGGGGTGTCGATTGGCAGAGAGTGTGTGACCCAAGAACCTTGCAGTGGATGGAGAAAAGAAACAACAATACTGTTGTGCCGAAGTTCTACGCGAGTTAAATTAGTTATGAACCAGTGCTTTTTATTTATGCCTGCATTCCGGAAGTACACTCAAAGGAACGGGGAAAGTTGCCCTTAAAGCTTTCTGATATTTAACACCACAGCTTGACAATTGACAGGGGGCTGTTTGTAAATAAGCCTGAACAGTCGTGTTCACCTGATTACAGGTAGCTGGGGACCACAATTGCTTTGTGAATCAACCCTTGTTCTCTTAATAACGGGTTTAGCAAAGTGGTTAGGCGACTGAGCTCCATATGACTCAGGGAGTCCCTGCTTTAAACATTATCTCTCCCATGAGATCATTTGGCAATATGAAGACAAGCCCCCCTTTAGTCCTCCCTTCCATAATATGGGGTATAATAATACTGACCTTACAAGAGGGATGAGGAATCTGTGGTCCTCTAGAGGAATGGTGGGAGACCTTGAGCCGAGCCCAAGGGTCAAGTTAGACCTGCCTGTCATGCACCGGACATCATATGACATGAGATGAGGTGCAGATAGGCACACGACTGGGCTTAAAAGCAGGATCCGCAGGCACTATGGATTTCAAACCATGGGCAGCAAAGGAAAATGGGTCCCCTGAAGTCACTGTGTCTTCATGTGGTTGACAGGTGGGAGGTCCTATCTTTCAAAGCTGGCCCACAGGACATGGAGGAGGTTAAGGATCTGGCCCACTGGCTGAATCCTGTTTCCCACTACTAGTCTAAAGGGAAAAACTCAAAGTGTGGATGGGGATAAGGATTGCACCTCCTCCTCCAACTCCCAAAGATCCCTGTGCTCACTGAGGAAGATCAGCAGGGGACTTCCACTCACATTTGCTTGAACACGATTATGCAAACTCCTCCATGCAATGCAAGTTCTTGCTTTATCAGAGTCCTCAATTGCAGAGAGTTCTGCTTGTGTTCAAGTGGAGTGTGGAAAGGCCATAGCTCAGTGACAGAGCATCTGTTTTGCACACAGAAGGTGCCAGGTAGAGATGGAATGTATAAGGATGGAGGGCCACTGCCAGTCAGCGTGGACAATATATGGAGCTAGATGGACCAATGGTATATGGCAGCTACCTTTGTTTCTGGTCCAACATAGGGAAGACCAGGGACTCATTATGTGGGGTGATGTGCATGGGGATGTTGGGAACAGGAGTTGTATGTGTCATTCTGTGCCTGATGCAGCTTTCATGTGTTCAGACAAACATTTGAACATACTTTACATGTTGTTGGGACTCCACTCTCACCTCTGTGCCAGCCAGCATGGCCAATGACCAGAGGGGATGGGATCTGCAGTCCAACAATATCTGGAGGGCCACAGGTTCCCCAACCATGCCTTATAGAGTTAGAAGTACAGCTATATAAAACATACAAACACTTTGTCACTTGAAAGTATCATCATTCCCAACAAGTGTAAAATAGAACAGAGATCATGCAAGGAGGTAGAATAATCTAATTATTCACCTCTCTCTCTCTCTCTCTCTCTCTCTCTCTCTCTCTCTCCCCACCATCTCCAGGACAGTAGGAGGAAAAACTCATCAACATGAATATCAAGGAGTATTTTGCAAGAATTTCCTACAAAGGCCCCCAGGAATGCCTGGACTTAGAAACGTTAACAGTGGTCTTTCAACATCACATCCGATCGGTGCCGTTTGAAAACCTCAGCATGCACTGCGGCGAAACCATTCAGATAGACTTAGAATCAGTCTACGACAAAATTGTGAAGCGGAATCGTGGTGGCTGGTGCATGGAGAACAACCACCTCTTATTCTGGGTCTTTCAGACAATGGGCTACGATACCAGCCTTTTAGGAGCCTACGTTTACAGCCCTCCTCAAGACACCTATGAGAAAGACATGAATCATCTCCTGCTGAAAGTGGTGATTGATGGCAAGGCCTACATTGTGGACGGCGGCTTTGGGATAGCCTACCAAATGTGGCAGCCAATGGAACTGGTGTCTGGGAAAGATCAGCCTCAGACACCGGGCATCTTCCGCTTCACTGAAGACAATGGAGTGTGGTATTTTGACAAAATGAAGCGCAAGCAGTGCACAGTAGGTACCGACAACAGATTCCCCTCCTCTGTTACCCCAGAAAACATGACCTGCAAGAAAGTTTTCTCATTTACCCTTCAGCCACGGAAGATAGAAGAGTTTCAGCCTATGAACCTGCATCTTCAAACTGCTCCAGATTCCCTGTTTGTGAAGAAGTCTATCTGTAGCCTGCAGACCAGCAGCGGCTTTCAGGTTTTGATTGGGTGGACGTTGACGGAAACCACATATAATTACAAGGGCCACGTGGATCTGGTGAAAAGCACCACCCTTACTGATGAGGAAGTGGAGAAAACTCTGAAGGAGAGATTCAACATAAGATTAGATAAGAAGCTTGTCCCCATTAACACCAGCTTGATATCCATGTTTTGATTTGAAGAGCTACCAGAGCTACAAACACTCAAAGCAAATTGGGAGGATGATGCTTGAATCACAGAATCATAGAATTGTAGAGTTGGAAGGGACCCTGAGGGTCATCTAGTACAACTCCCTTCAATGCAGGAATCTCAACTAGACATGATGATGATGAATGTAATAATGTTTTTTCTCGATTAATATTTTGCCATTCCTTGCTATGATAGAGTGTGAAATCAACAGTAATTTTTATCACCAACTCATGCTGAAAATAAAGAAGATAACATCAACAAAATGTAAAGGTTGCTGTGTTGCCCCATGAGAAAAAATCCTAAATCCTAAAATGGGGGCGGGGGGGGGGGGGGAAGAGATAGCAAACATTTGATGTTAGGAATGCAGATGTTAGGAAGCAGGAACATTCAATTATTGATTCACCACATTTAACAATATAAAACCCAGCTGTTAATCAGGGCAGTCTTCATCTTAGGGAGAAAAAATAGACAAAGGCATCTTGTTTATACCACATTTCTAAAACTTTTTATTCTGGTGGGAGGGCTTTGAGAGAAGTCAAAAAGGGAGATGGGAACCTGCCATGGCTCAACTGGAACCACTCAGCTATATGGGTTGCAACCAACATTAATTCTACTTGGAGTAGAATTGACTGCCTTAGAGACGTTAATTTTAATAGGTCTACTCTGAGAAGGATTTAGTCAGCAACAACCCATTGAAATTAATTTGTTGTTGTTTAGTCATTTAGTCGTGTCCGACTCTTCGTGACCCCATGGACCAGAGCACGCCAGGCACTCCTGTCTTCCACTACCTCCTGCAGTTTGGTCAAATTTATGTTCGTAGCTTTGAGAACACTGTCCAACCATCTTGTCCTCTGTCGTCCCCTTCTCCTTGTGCCCTCCATCTTTCCCAGCATCAGGGTCTTTTCCAGGGAGTCTTCTCTTCTCATGAGGTGGCCAAAGTATTGGAGCCTCAGCTTCAGGATCTGTCCTTCCAGTGAGCATTCAGGGCTGATTTCCTTAAGAATGGATAGGTTTGATCTTCTTGCAGTCCATGGGACTCTCAAGAGTCTCCTCCATTTAGGTCCATTAATTTCAATAAGGATACTCTCACTAGAACTTAAGAAGCATAAAGATCCCTGTGGTACCTGGCCAAATCTAATCCAGCACCATTGTTCTCAGTGGCCAACCAGATGCCCATGAGAAGCCTACAAGCAGAACAAAGGCACAATAGCAGCTCTACCCTCCTGCAGCTTCAGTAACTAATTCAGAAGTGTTACTGTCTCTGAGCATGGAGACACAGCATCGCCATCCCGGCTAGTAGCTATTGATAGCCTTATCCTCCATGAATTTGTCTCATCCTCTTTTTGAGCCATCCAAGTTTTTCACCATCACTATATCATGAGGGAGCGACTCTGCAATGCTGGATACAAGCTACTGATTTCAGTGGTCCAATGCCCCATATTACGTGTCCAGCTGTTTCTCATATCAAGCAAGCTGTTTCGTCGGGTTAGGACACCTCTTTTAAAAAGTTAAGAACCAAAGTTCAATCAGTTCATGGATCAGTGGAACTGGAATATGAGCAGACATTTCAGGTGGACTTTCTCCCCTCCAAGCTTTTTAATGACCAACCCCCAATAAGACGAGAGAGAGAGGGGAAGAACGGAAGAATTAAGAACTTTGCAGATCTGAAGTTGAAAAATTCAGCTCAGCTCTTTATACACGCAGTACAGCAGACTGCAATCCGAAAAGCACAGGGAAATATCAAAACAAAAACAGATCAATATCTTAAGAGGTAAGATATTTTTTGTTTTGTTGTTTTTAAAAAAGCTTTTAAGAGCAACTTTAACTGGTGTAGACCCTTGGATTTTGGATAGGCCCTCCTAGTTCTGCTATAGCCTGCAGATCTACATCTGGCCACAACAAAGAACCTGATCTTTTCTGTCGTGGTGCTGGAATGGCCTCCTCCAGAAATAAGAAATGCAACAACTTTGAAATCATTTCATTGGATGCAGAACACTTACTTGCCTTCACTGGCTGTTGATGTTAGTCGCTGTAGAATTTTAAGCAATTCTAAGTATACTGATTGAGCTTGATTTTAAAACTGTTTGTATATTTTTGTGTTGTATTTGTTTATTTTTGAATTGCATTTTATGCAACTGTACACCATCTTGAAATGTTCCCATAACAGCAGTACAGTTGTACCTTGGAAGTAAAACAGCTCAGTTCCCGAACGTTTTGGCTCCCGAATGTCACAAACCCAGAAGTGATTGTTTACGAACTATTTTTGGAAGCCGAACATCCAATGGGGCTTCTGCAGCTTCTGATTGGCTGCAGGAACTTCCTGCAGCCATCAGAAGTCGTGCTTTGGTTTTCGAACATTTTGGAAGTCAAAGGGACTTCCGGAACGGATTCCATTCAACTTCCAAGGCACGACTGTATATAAATATCTTAAATCATGTATAAATTTCTGCTGAATGTGTAAAACTACTTAGACTGAGTCAGACCATTAATCTATTTGTTCGCTTTAGGTGGTGGTGGCTCTACAGGGGCTTAGACAGAGGAAGCAGTTTTATACCAAGATCATTTGTCCATATAACATAATATTGCCTATACTGACTGGCAGTTACCCTTCCACAGTAATCTTTCATGGCCCTACCTGGAGATGTTAAGAAACCTGGAACCTTCTGTATGCAAAGCACCTGCTCTGCTAGAGAGCTACAGCCTTGTTACTGATGCAGAAAACACAACCTCCGCAAACAAACCAGTTCACCATACTCAACACATGCATACCAGGTTGCAAGAACAGAGCACTATCAAAGGAGAGTCTTTGTTAGGCACTTAGTAGATCTAAACAGGTATTTGTTCCTGCACTTCTCTGCTTCAGCTATGCAATTTCTTTGATGCTACTCTCCTTAAATATATTCAGAGAAACCACTGTGCAAGCTGGCAGGACGGGGAAAGAAGCCGTTCAGGCTGTCATAATTTTTAATTAGCCGCTTTAACATTTGCCTTCCAGGAAACATGAACATTGAAGAATATTTCACAAGGATTAGCTACAAAGGCTCTCTCGAAAAACTGGATTTTGGAACCTTAGCGGCGATCTTCCAGCACCACATACGAGCTGTGCCCTTTGAAAACCTCAGCATCCACTGCGGGGAGACGATTACTCTAGACTTAGATCATGTTTACAACAAGATTGTGAAGGAAAAACGAGGGGGTTGGTGCATGGAGAACAACCAGCTCTTGTCTTGGGTTCTGAAAAAGCTGGGATATAACACCACCATACTGGGAGCTTATGTTTACAACCCACAGCAAAACACCTATGCCACTCAGATGACCCATCTCATCATCAAGGTGGTCATTGACGAGAGGGCCTACATTGTTGATGCAGGCTTTGGTGTCTCCTACCAAATGTGGCAACCGTTGGAGCTGGTGTCCGGCAAAGACCAGCCACAAATGCCTGGGATCTTTCGTTTCACAGAAGACAACGGTATTTGGTACTATGAGAAAATAAGAAGGAAGCAATACATTCCCAGTCAAACCTTTGCCAACTCAGATCTCTTGGAAAAAAGGGAGCGCAGGAGTATCTACCTGTTCAGCCTTGAGCCAAGGACGGTAGAAGACTTTCGGTTCCAGTGCTCCTATCTCCAAACATCCCCAGATTCCGTGTTTACCAAGAAATCTATCTGCAGCCTCCAGACAAATGATGGGTTTAGGGCTTTGATTGGATGGACACTCGTGGAGACAAAATTTAACCACACGGAAGGCACAGATCTGGTGAAGCACACAACTCTGAGCGATGACGAGGTGGAGAAAACACTGAGAGAGAAATTTGGTATAACTCTGGAGAACAAGCTTGTTCCTATTAACATCAAAGCGACGTATACCATCTAGTGTAGAAAACAAAACACGGCACAATGCTATGCAATTGCAACAAGCTTTACCATCTTCTTAAATCCATCATTCTGTAAATTGCAGTTATGATTAAAACCTGTCCATAAGCTGTAAGCACCCCATGTTAGGCAGAAGAGGATAATTGTATATTGTGGGGGTTTTTTCACCAGCACTGACAACCCTGTAGATGCAAACCAGTGACTGCAAAGTACTTAACATGTCTTGGATAATGAATTTTGAAACGATTTAAGCACTTCAAAATGGAGGAATCTGCATTTCACATTTTATTAAGTTACATGGATCTGAATTCAAAGCAGGACTTGCTCCGATATGTACCCAGAACTAATGTGTGAACGAGGGATACTCCAGTCATTTCAATACAGGAAGCTCGTCTAAAGGAATGTTTTTAAGCAAACTGCCATCCTTTATTAACATAAAATGGGGCAGCCCTACAAAGGATACACTGCATCCATGAAAAAAATGACTCATTTGGGCTTATTAACTCTAAGGAAATGGGAATTTTAGAATTCAAATATCTTAGCTGCCAACAAGCTAGTTCACATTAAAAGCTACATGACCTAAAATGTTAGCAACAGACTGAATTCACCCTCTCTTCTTACCCCTAGAGTCTAATGCTGATCATCTTTTACGGAGCTCTGCACAGGTATTGTGAAAGGGAAGCTTTAATTAAAATACTTCATATACTCATCTCGGATTTGTGAGGGCACATACTTTTGATGAACACAATGTTTAATATAGTGAGCAGGCGGTGAAAATCCTATGTGAAGCCTTAATCTGAAAAATATGGATATTGATATAATTTTAATTACACGAACTAATATTGACAGAGGCTTTTTCTCCAGTCTCCATTTATTTCTGTTCATATATACACTGGTAACACTTGTGAGAGTTATATTTAAGTCACCAGCGCTAATGAAGTCTTGGTCTGTGTAGTTCCCCCACCCGCTTTACGGATCTGCTATTACGGTACATGGCTTAAAATCCCTCCAAGCCAATCAAAAAATCCTTCAGCTTCATATCTCTATAGACTATTTTGTATGTGGCTTACTGCACAGCATGTTCTTATTGGAGAAATGGCTTTCTGGTCCTTATGAAGCTGTCCATGTTTTGGGGGAATCCACCCACCCATTTGGAATGTTGGACTTAAAAAAAAACAACAACAAGAGCTTCTGCAACAAAAATTAAATTCCATAGAAGACAAAGAGAGAAATGTGCTTCAAATGTTTAATTCTGATTTTACAACTCCACGGGGTTGAGGAGAACTGCGAAATGCCTGGAGGATCAGGCCTGCTTCTACTGTTTATTCATTTCCACTATTTAAGTGAATACAAGTGGGTGAAAGTCCCAGTAAAATTTTACTTAGCAAGACGGGATATATACCACCTTTATCTTTAAAGGAGTTCAAGGTGGTACACAAGGTTCTCCTCCTCCCCATTTTATCCTTACAACAACCCTGTGAGGTTGGTTAGGCTGAGACATGGTGACTGGTCCAAGGTCACCCAGTGAGCTTCATGGCTGAGCGGGGATTCAAACCCTGCTCTCTAGTTCAACACACTAACCATTGCACCATACTGGATCGCAGTTTTAGATACTTTGGGGCTATTTTAGGAGATGGGACGTGTTAGACTGCCCTTTTAAGCATATCAATATTTTCAGCTTTTGTTTTGGCTTTATACTGGCTTTAATTCTTGCATTAAAATTTTGGCATTAAAAGTCGTTCTGAGTTTAAATTTCATTTTCAAAAAGTGATGGATAAGTCCTAATACCATAGCTAATAAAAAAAAAAGAACAAGGACAACAACTTTCCCTCCGCCTAACTAGGCTGCTGAAAGCTTGCAGGTGGAGGAGAGCTGGAAAGGTTTTTACGAGAAAGGACTTTGAGCTCAGTTCCAGTAGAGAAAACAAATTTCTGGGTTGAAATACACTCAGATGTATCCTCTCCCTCAATTCTGTGTTCACCCCTCACTTGACCCGAGCTAGTAGACCTCTGAGTTCTGGCAGGAGAAAGGGAGGAAGGGTGGAGAACACAAACTAGATATTGCAAGCTTGAAGTCCACCAGCACCTGCTGTAAACTACAGCAACAGGGACCAAAGTCTAATTGCATTTATGGATCAGTGAAGTCAAAGAGACAGGATTCTGCCAGGATCAGCAGAATTGGACATTTCTACGATTTGAAAAGCTTCAGTACAAAATGGAGGGGGGGGGCGGCAGGGAAACTCTGTAGAAGGAGGGCTCTGGAAACATCAGCCAAAGGAATGGTGAAAGGTTCAACTGAATGGGTACAAAACCGTGATGAACTTTATCGCCAAATTCAGACCATAACACATAACAAAGTCCTTCAAAAACGCATCTCTCTGAGACACTGCATTATGCCTCCTGGGCTGCATTCACGTAGCAGTTTCTTCCATTTCCCCCTTTTCGCATTATATTTGAGCTTGCAGAAATGATTCCTTACATTTCCAGAAAACTAATGGAATACGGTCAGTGCTTTTTCCCCCCTAGGGGAACCGTAGGGGTACGCATACCCCTAAACATTTTGTGAATCTAAGTTTGGCCTCATTGAGGGGCATTATTTCAGTATGAGTAGGAAAACGAGTTCCCTTAAACATTTTTTTAAGGAAAAAAGCACTGAATGTTGTGCAAGTTTAGGTCTCATTTCCCTGTGATTCGATTCCAGAAAAATATCTGTTTGCAGCCCCCTTAACCCAGAATATCACAGGAGTAAAGTGACACAATTTGGGGGTGGTATTCCAGAATGTGGCACTTTCCTATTTTATTTTATTTTTATGGGTAGGGGGCAGGATCATGGGGAACAGAAGCATGTGCGGAAAGTGTGGGGGAGTAGTGATGTCGTCCCATGACGCTCATTGTTGTGTCACACCATACAGACTGATGTGAATGAAATTTAGGGCAACATGCTGGTATATCCGTCAAAAAGCCACAGTTTCATAGCACAACAACACTAGCATTATAACCAGGAAAATTAATGTATTTCAGAAGGCACCCTATGGGTTTCACTTAGTTAGTTTTGGCAGCCAGGATGTCAACGCAATTGCTGCTGCTGTCCTTTGAAGTGTCAGCAAAAATAAAAACGCAAGAAAAAGAAGAAGTTATGACTCCACCACTGCTAAGAATGAGATACACACACACACACACACACACACACACACACACACTTTTATCATCCCCCTGGGGAAAAATCAATGAAATGGTCCCCTCAGTTTATGCTCACAAAGGGGGTGGAGGATTTTAAGAGGCTACTTGGACACAGTTGTAGCTTGGATTGCTGGTGACTAACAGGGAAACAAAAACCCTCTCTACTCCCCCCCCCTAAACAGGACTTGAGTCATAAGGGAAATACCGTATTTTTTTGCTCTATAAGACTCACTTTTTCCCTCCTAAATAGTAAGGAGTAATGTGTGTGCGTCTTATGGAGCGAATGCAGGCTGCGCAGCTATGCCAGAAGCCAGAACAGCAAGAGGGTTGCTGCTTTCACTGCACAGCGATCCCTCTTGCTGTTCTGGCTTCTGAGATTGAGAATATTTTTTTTCTTGTTTTCCTCCTCCAAAAACTAGGTGCGTCTTGTGGTCTGGTGCGTTTTACAGAGCAAATTTATTCATTAATGAGTAAGAATGGCAAAGTGGGGCATGTTCAGAGTTGTTCTCCTCAAATGATAGTCAATAAATCATTTCCTAGCTGAAAACACATTTTTTTCAAAAATTGGGAAAGGGAAGGGAGACGCTGTACAATCATTAACTTTTACTCCTGATCGGTAATGCTTTGTGGCCAGATTTTGAGTAATTGACCCAGCAGCATTTAATTAGCTCTGGAAAGTTAAAGAAGCTAACACATCAGATTTTTCTGACAGTAATAAGACCCCCTTCTTAAGTTAGAAAAAAGCCTTTATCTTTACACATGTGATCCGCCTTGAATAGCTAATAAGGTATTTTTGAGACCAAGGTTTTCATCTGTGTATCATAAGCGCAAAATACTCCAGGCATTGAGCTACTTACTTTTTGTATAATTGAGCCTGGGGCCTTGTTTCAATTAACTGTCCAATTCCATCCTGCGCTGGATCCAACCCTTTTCCATGAGCACAAGGCCACTGGAAGGAATTCAATCCATAGTCTTCATGTACAAATAAATTTAATAATTGCCCAAAACTCCTTAACAGTCAATAGAAGACATACTTCTATTTGTTTTTTGCTATTATTTTTACTGGTGAAAATGTTGATAAAGGTAATTAAACAAAATCAAACATTAGCCCAAATAAATTTATTGAGATGTGAAGCTACAAGAACAGGTGACTCTGCCTTCCCTCCCTTCTCTCTTTTACGGGTCACAGTTTTAAACAGGCAAAAGTATTGGGGCGAGGACCTTAAAACTGCCTAGAAAATTAAAAATACACCAATAAAAATATTTTTCAGGGACATAAATCAATTACGTAAATTAACTTTTTTTAAAAAGAAATATACTTTCTCAGCAACTTCCTGTTACCCTAGCAATATGTATAAAGAATATATATATATATATATATATATATATATATAATCACTATCTTATAACAGGGTTGCAACTCACCTGGCTTTGGCACACACTGCATGCAGTTAAGATTCATAATCTAAAGCTGTCCTCAGCCACGTGTGACAACCTGTCTCTTCATGCAGTGCTCAGTCAGTGCTTGCGCTCTTAAATGCCTATGCTAAACACTGTAGAGATCAAAAGTATGTAAAATGTTCATTTATGTAGCTGCCAACTCCAAAAAAAAAATAAATAAAAAAAAATGCATCAGTCCCAGAGACACAAAGAGATCCAGGGATTTATAAAAATAACTCGTATTACCATGGTCCAAAATAAGATTTCCCCACTCTAAAGTGCACAGAAAACATCCAAGTGATTTAATCTTGAGGTTTCAAAAACATTTTCTTTGCTTTGGTAGGCCTTGTGTTGCTGTTTTCATCCTCTTCTATGTCTTCCACCATGTGCCGGTTCCTCTTCTTTAAGAATTTCTTCCCAATAGTTCCCACTAAAGTTTCGTACCTAGAAAAAAACCACAATAAGTTAAGGAAAATACTTTACCATTTGAGAACAAGACCGTGGCTCTTCCATCTCCTCTCATCCCTCCTCATTGTCCATGCTTCGCTGGGGGGCTGATGGGAGCTGGAGTTCAACAACACCTGCAGGGCCACCAGTTCCCTCTCCTTGCCTTAAGGTCTTTGAAAGCAGTAGCAGCAGCAAAAGTGGCACCTTGCAGATGTTGTTAGGCTCCAACTCCCATCAGCCAGTACAGCCAGTGGTCAAGGGTGATGAAAGCTGGAGTCCAAAGTACCTGGTTGGGACAGGATATTGTAGATGACGATAGCCTTCTGAGGCCCTCCACAGGAGGTCTGGAGGGTGGCAACATGAGAACAGGCCATATCAGTGGTGGCTCCCCACTTATGGAATGCTCTCCATGAAAAGGCTTGCTTGGCACCATCATTACATATCTCTAGGCTCCAGGCAAAAAACATTCATTTATATAGCCTTTGACTTTTAACTATTAACTATTGATGGCCCAATTATTGCATGGGCGGGCTATTTTAATGTAGGCTTTGGGGGTGTGTGTTTTTTTCTTGGTGGTTTTAATGTATGTATTCCTTTTTCTTTTTTTGCATAAAATATTGTAAGTTACTTTGATCTGCCAAAGAAAAAGAGTGACTAATAAATTTAATAAATAATAATAATAATAAAAGGCAGCAGTGAGTCAGACGGCCCAGTAGTTTGATTTGGGAGTAACAAAGCCTTCAATCAGCTATTATCAATGTTAGCCAACTCACTGCACAGCCGGAATGGAATGAGATTCCAACGAACTCTCACCTGAAGCATCTTCTACTGCAAGTGTACCAATTTAAAAAATAAATAAATTGGTGTTTACTATAGAAGCTGGGGTGTTGATTTATTGGTATTCCTCTGCAAGTTTTAAAAGCGAACATACAAATGGATTTCAACAAACATTTTTCTATAAATGGTTATATATTATTCCCTTGGAGCCAACCCCCCACCCCCCGAAATGGATGGCTATAACTTGCAATAAGTTACTATTGATGTAGCTGACTTCCAGCTAGAGTGCCTGGAGAAAGCAGGTTATTTTTAAAACAAACAAACCAAAACCAACAACTCATCAGATCATCTCACTTCCACTATAAAATACTCTGTTTAAGAAACAACAGCACTGCACACAAGAAGAAGTGCTTTGTATGTCAAGCATGTGGTTGTTTGGGAGGTTTCCACTTTGTAAGGAGAAAAGGCAGCAACACATCTTCTGGGTAATGTCATCTGTGTCATAAATGGTAATGGTTACCTTCTGGCCATTTCTTCATCCGATACATCAGCCTCCATTGCATTATCTTCCTCTTCGATTTCTTCTGTCTTGTACTTTGAGTTCATCTGGATCATTAACTTCTGAAAACGAAAAACTGGGTTATCAGTTTCAAGCATTGCACTCCTTGAAGAATGTCAAGGGGACAGATTTGGCAATAAGAGCAACGACCATTCCCCCTCCTTTTTCTTTTTTTAAAAAAGATGGGCACAGGCAGAATGTAGATTTGTGCATATAAGATTGTAACCCTTCCTTTGCCTTTATTTTATTACAACTATAGCCCACCTTCCTTCCATCACAAAGCCCATGGTGGGCGGTCTCCAATGAAGTAGTTCTGCTAGG